TACTCTTTCCCATCCTTATTATAAGGCATAATTAATTTTTTTTTGTCTTTTTTATAAGACATTTTATAGTTTCTAGAAAATATTAAATTATTATTTTTCTTTATTTTTCCTTATTAAAGATTGTAAGGATATGTGATTTTCGATATTTTTTAAACTTTCCCAAATTGATATTTATCTTTATTGTTGGTATTGGTGTATAAACTTTAATATGAATAATATCTTTACCTCATAAAAATTTAATAGTAAGAAGGATAAAATTGATAAATCATAATTTTATTTTATAAATCCAATAAAATTAACTTACATAATTACCAATGTTGATTCACGTGATTCTGTTAAAAGTACTTTATAATAAGGATAGGAGGAATTAATTATTTTCAAAATGTCCTTTTATTTTGCAGTTCTTTTTCCGTTATCAAAACTTAATTCAAACTATTTAAACTGTCATTTTATATATTTTTTGGTCTCAAATCTCATCTTATATTTTGAAATTATTTTCTTATGTTTTTAATATTTTTATATTTTAAATTGAAGACCATTCGTTCTAATTAATTGTGATGAATTGATAATTTAGTATTACGTCCAAGAAAAACTATTATTCATGATAATATTTGTAAAGAAATGAAATTGTGGGCTGCGAAATTTCTCCATGTACGACGGGCCCATTTTACCCACATTTTCTGATACGAACATTACCGTTATTCTCAATCTATTTATATAATAAACTATTTTTTTATTATGTTTTCAGACAATATTTTATATTTTATTTAAAAAATTCATTTAAAATATAAATTTATTTATTTATTCATCCCATTCTTTCGTTTTTTTTACTTTTCATATTTTTTAATCTTTAAATATTTATATTTTAAATTTATATTCATTAAATAAATAACAATAAAACTACATTAAATTTTAATAAAATTTTGAAAATAAAAGCATTGTTACATAGATTAGTTTTATATTAAAAATTTATTGAGCAGCGCATCACCTTAGCCAAAATTAAAGGTTTTTAGAGAAAAAATAATTCTGAAATGAGACATTAGTGATGGGGGTTGATCTAATAGTGTGAGTTAGAATAATATGTACATGATCTTACATTCGAATCTTAATATTATCATTGAAATTTTGATGAATGGATATAAAAAAATTTGTATGACTAACGATTAAAAATAAATGCTTTCAAACTAGAGTGAAGCCACATACCAACAAAACAAAAAACATGATAAACTTCACGTATATCCCACTATAAAAAAATGGTCTTTTAGTAACATATCCTATATTGGTAAGTGTTTTTTTTTCCATTAGTAGTTGTTGCTAAAAATTATTTTTACTTACAATTATATTCTCATAATTGTTAAAAAATGTAGTGATGAATTATAATAACATATGTAACATTTTTTATAGTGTCCATAAAAAAATGATTTGACCCTCCTCATAGTAAATGATGATCTTAGAATAACAACACTACTAGCTATAAGGTAGTAAAAGCTTATGTCACAAAGGATACAATTTCGAGTTTATTAAATCTTTTTGAAACACTTTAAAACCTAAAATCATAAAAGTTTTGGAGGATTCCCACATCAACGAGATGATCCTTGAAGGAGGAAATTCTTCTTTTGTTACTTTGATTCCAAAGAAAGTGCTTGCTAGGGTGGGAGTTCTTGCAATATCTCCTACTATGGGAAAATTATTTTGCACCATTAGATATGTAACTATTTAAATAAAGGGTTAGATATATAAGTATTTGAAAAAGGGTCAGATTATTATATTTATTTATTTATAAGTATTTATACTTGTTTTTCCCTTTTTTCTCTTTGTCTCTCAATTTCACTTGTATGTGTCTCTCAAACTCTCTCATGGCAACCTCAAATTGCGGGTAAAGTGCTCCTCTTCTATTTGCAGTTTTATTGACAACGATAAGATGATGACGAGTGTTGAGATACAATCAAAGTCTTACATTGTTAAAAAAAGAGGATGCCCATGAATTTATATATACACACAAGTGTCTTTATTGAAGAAAGGTCTTTTGGATAATGATTAAAAGTAAAACCATGAAAGTTTAGGCAAAAAAATGGACAATATCTTACAAATGTTGAGACATATATATGTGTCGGAACCTCTCGATGCACAACAATAACACAAAACACTATACCCTAACTAAAAAGAATGAAATTGTAGTTTGTTTGAAGTTGGTTTTGTATAAATAAACTTAAATACAAAAGAGTAAAGCGATAGAAATAAAACTTGTCTTTTAGGATTTTTATCAAACACTTGAAGATATGAATACGAAAAATCAAATAAAGAGAACCATTGTGATTGAATTTCTCTAGTTCACCATATGTATTAGTTCATAAAAGGTTTTCCTATATATTTTATCCCATTCATTATCATTACCACAAAAAATTCTCAAACCCTATTCCTTAGGAGTTTACAATTTAGAACCATGTATTTCACTCAAATCACCATTTTTTTTTGTTAAAATAGATGAAATACAAGCATTAAAAACATAAGTAGTTAATAAATGACCATACTCATGTTCATTTCTAAACATAACTTAACATAAGTAGTTAATAAATGACCATTAGAACTCATGTTCATTTCTAAACATAACTTTCAATTGGTGTTTTAGCTCATACATAACTTGAGGCTTTTTTCATCGATAACCCTAAACATATAAAGCAACTTACAAAGTTTTTGTATATACTATTCAAGTTGAATAATATCATTTCTCAGAGAATTTTTGTATCTTAAAAAAATCATCATAGTTTACACGGAAACAAAGTAATCCAAGGTGAAATTCACAGGAAAATTGATACCATTCACAACATATATTGAATTAATTACGAACTTCAATAGATAAAAAATTCTACACCTGAACATCGGAATTCCCAGCAGGGAGGTCTAACCTGTTTCCAGGTCAACAAAATATATAATCGCTAAAATAATGACCTCAAAATGACTGATCTAAAACACAGAATCTAACAAGGGGATACAGGTGCATAATTTAATTGACATGCCAACCAATGGAACTTTTTTTATCATCTCACATGGTTTATCTAAGTTGGTGTGCCCCCTAATGTTTCTGAGATTATTAAAAGCTTGAAAAGAATCCAACACATTTATTACGAACATCCGTCTGATTTGTATCGGTTATGTTGGTCGGTGAGGGTACCAAGTAGCAGAAATATTCCAGTGAAAAAACCACACGTAATGGCCATGCATTTCCATCAAAATCTTAAACCACTTTTAAGTGTTTGATATATAGCACATCTTTCTTTTAATCACTATATATCGATCGAGTAGCTGTCTCAGAAGGTATCTGTGTTGCATTTTTTCCTGGACAATATATGTTGCCCTTTTGTATATATAAAATATATTATATATGTGGCTCCATTGCTGTTACAAAAGATGTTTTCATATATATATATATATATATATATGAGAAAGGTTATAACTACACCAATATAAATTTTATTAAGTATTATACTACTTAATAACTTTATATTAAATATAAATTTTATAAAAATATAAATTTTAT